TGGAAGAGAGCTCACTTCAAGGAAACGATTCCAATTTTGCACTTTTTCCATCACACAAAAGCTGGAGAGAACTCTAGACGAGCAGTCCAAAGACTAAAGCGGTCAGCACTCTGTGACACAAGGGTGGGGGTGTGTACGGTGCGGGGGTAAGAATGTACCCACCTCAGCCTGACTGCCTGAGCAAGCCGTGTCACCTCAAACAAGTTACATGACCTCTGTGCTACCACTTCCTCACGTATAAAATGGGGAAAATGGATTCCTGACTCCCAGAAGTGTCCCTGTCCACGACCACTGGAGCATGGGCTCCATGAAGTGTTCAAACCTCGCACGGACCCAGCTGCACCTGCCAGAGCCTCGGGCAGTGCCTGGTACCCTGTTCTTGAGTGCAGTTCCATGAAAGGGACTCCCTGAGAGGAGGGCTTCTCCGCTCTGCCCTTTCAGTTACTGCCACATCACCAGTGCTTAGAGCAGTGCCCGGCAGAGCGGGCACTCAGTAAACACAGATGCGGCGTGGACGAGCCTGCGGGGTGCACATCTGCCTGCCTGGCCTGGGCTCTGCCTCTGGCTGCACGGCCTCTCCCTCCTTCCCTGCCTGTCATGAGAAGGAAGCCCCTCTGAGCCTGCTGGGAGCCGCTGCCTCAGCCCTGAAGGGGGTGATTTTGCCCTCTCTCCTTTGTGACTGGAACTCACGTTCCAATCCCAACTCCTTAGTTCCTCGTTAGTGAGAATGTGGAAGAAAATTAATGGAGAGAAGGCAACAAAGCAAAGGACTAGCAACACAAAAATCTAGACAGCTAGCATATTACACAGGGCTTTTTTTTTAATTTATTTATTTTGGGCAGGTGGGGGAGGTAATTCAGTGTATTTATTTATTTACTTATTTCTTAATGGAAGTCCTGAGGACTGAACCCAGGATGTTGTGCATGCCAAGCAGGCACTCTACCACTGAGCTGTACCCTCCCCCACAGGGTTTTTAAAAAACTACAAAATAATAGGGGAAAAAATGGATTCATATAGTGGTCAATGGTATCGCACTGGTTGTCTGTTTTATGGCCCCATAGACCCAGGCAGGGAACCGCCTCCCAAACAATGTGAAGTGTAAAGAGGGCCGTGCGGCGAGGCACGGGTGATCTCAGTACTCACGGTGACCGTGAGTAGCTTTAAAAATGCCTCCCTAGCCTCCTTCCCAGCATGAGCATCCTGTGCTGACAGACGGAGAGAACCCAGGTGACCATGAAAAAGGAGGAGATAAGACTGAGAAATGGCAGGGTTAGGAGAGACGAGGAAGAGTAACATTTCCAAAGCACCTTCCACAGACCACCTTCATGAGATGCTGAGAACCATGAAAAAGGGATTTTCCCAGGATCAAGTTAAAGAACTGGTAGGTTCAAAAAGGCTACACAGGTTTCTTGACTGCGAGACTTACTAGAACCTACAAAACATTAACTGTATTCTCAATTTCCAACATGGGGGTTTCACACACAGCATTTTCTACTCATTTGGACAAAGAATGCTTATTTTTCAGAGCATCTTCCAAGGCTGGTGTTCTGAACAGTGCCCTTGAGGACATCCTAGAGTAAGGAGATCAAATAAGGACAAAGGCGGCAAGCACACAACGGAGTCAGTCAGTGGATCAATACGGACTAATAATTAGCTTACTCATCTGCGCCTACTGAAAATGAGGTGACCTTCTGGCCATTTAATTCATTTGGAACAACATCCCATCATTTTGGAAGGACAATTACAATCATGAAATTATGGAAACATAATTGGTTCACAGACAATAATAAAGCCATCTATCATACTAACAGGGGAAAGTACATTTCCAGGCTAAAGTTTTTACAGTCTTTTAATCAAAGGCAACTGCAGACGCACACTTAAAGCTTCCTCCTCCACCCACTGCCTCAGGAGCAACAGAAGAACGTGGTCTGTTAAGAATCTTCTCTAGGATCTCAAAGGGAAAGTTTGCTTTGGGGCTTTAAAGGGGAAAAAAAATAAACCACCAAGCTCTTACACTCAAAATGTTTTGTTTTTCCAGTTGAGTCACCTCCAGGCTTATGAATGAACAAAAACTAATGGAATATTTTCACTTTAGTTGAACACTGCCCTCTGCTGGAATGTGCACCCAGTTCCTAACATATCCTCCAGGCATATAAAAATAAAAGCAGTGTCTACAAGGTCTATAAAATAGACACATTCATTATTTGGTGTCGGAGAACTTGAGCTTCCGTCCAAATTCTTCTGCTTATTGGTGGAGTGACTTCAGTCCTGCTGGCGGCCAGGTATATTAACTTGGCTGCCCCCCGGGGTCCACCAAACTCAACCTGTCTAAAACTGAGTACGTATTTTGTCACAATCCTGCTTCCTTAGGCCCATTCCACCCAGGGACACACCAGGAACAGAAGGATCACCCTTCTCCCTCACCACCGAATAAACCTGACATCCCTCACCTTTGGGACAGTCCCATCTGTCCCTGCCTCTCCAATCTCACCACACTTCTGCGGTGCAGACCCTCTCCTGCATCACTTTTCAGCAGCCCGCTGGCCCTTCCAGTCCATGCTCCAGGCTCTCAGAGAGTGACCTTCTAAAAGAACAGTCTGATCTCGCTGGCTTAAAACACTCCCAGAGAGCGCTGTCAGGGTGGAGTTCCAGTTCCTCTTCTTGGGTACAAGATCTGCCTCCACACCTCTGTTCCTGGCATCATACACACACAAACACACACTCCCAGGACTGCAAAATGACCTGCATTTCGCTCAGTGCATCATCTGGTTCAGGACTAGGTACTGCACATATTTCTACCACCCAGAATTCCCTTCCCTGCATTAGCTCACAGCCCCAGGGTCATCTCTACCAAGAAGCTTTCCCGGACCATCCCACCAACACACTCCACAGCGTTCTCACAGCGTTATTCGCCTGTGCCACTTGTAGCACTTACAATGTGCTGGGACAGCCTGTTTTTCTGCACCAGTCCCCAACTGTCAGCCCCTTGAGGGCAAAAGCTTCGAATTCAAGCACTTGTTTAGAACTTACTTTTTCTAAATTAGCACAAATGTGGATTACAAGGGCAGAAAAATATACAAGATGATAAAGTAAAACTCAGAAGTTGACTTTTTGTGTGTGTGTGTGTGTGTGTTTCTCCCTAAGGTATGTGTAACTTTATTTTTTTAACATTTTTTATTGATTTATAATCATTTTACAATGTTGTGTCAAATTCCAGTGAGAAGTTGACTTTTTAAAAAAAAAGGAAAAGCAAGAGTAAGGGAACACTGGAATTTGACACAACATTGTAAAATGATTATAAATAAATAAAAAATGTTAAAAAAAAAAGAGTAAGGGCTTAAGTAATAAAGGTAATACAAAAATGCAGTTAGCAACACCCTACAAATTTGCAATTGGCATGCCAGAAACTTAGCCCCAAGTTAGCAGCCAACTACAAGCAAGAAACCTGATCAGTTACAGTCAGAGCAGTAAAAGCAAGCTGAATGCTCAGGAGAAGGCAGCACTCCTGACATGAGACCAGAGTTTTCTCCTGCAGGTCTTTAGGAGAAAGTGTGAAGTTCCCCGCCGCCTCCTTGGGCAGGCGGGGCAAGCTGCAGCTCCCTCAGTGCAGCCAGTACATCACCCCCAGGGGAGGACGGGGAGGGCAACTCCACAGGGGCCCAAGCAGGTGCAGCTGGGGTAGGAGGCTCAGCTGGCTGGCTTCACCCAGGAGTGGGCAGGTGCATGGGCCGCACCGACTTCCAGCAACCTATCACAAGGCTTCCAGCTGTCAACTTTGGTGGCTTGGGGACAGGAGTCTTGCCCTACTATTTTTCCCTTACCCCAGCATCTAGCATCGTGGGTCTTGCCCCTAACAGACTATTGTCCCTTTACCTTAACAGAAATTTTGTAATGCCCCCTCCACATACCTGAAATTAAGTAGATAATAAAACCCTACCCCCAAATACATATAAACCTAATCCTACACATAATTTTTAAAAATTAAAAATGCACTGAAATATAAAGCAAAAGGAACATACTTGATAATAATATGTACTCAAACATTTGCCCTAAGTACCTAGAAGACATCATGACGTATGGTCAGATTCCTACAACTACTGGGTTCTGGAGAACAAAACACAAAATAAGAATCAATTCCGTGCAAGGAGTGCAGGGGTATTTAAGAACAGAGGTAAGATGCTCCAGAGAATCAAAACTTGTGTTTATTACTAGGACTTGCTGACAGATCAGACCTACTTGTACATGAAGGGGAAAGAACTTGAACTGAAATTGTGATCACAAACCCAGATAAATTGCCAGTTTGGAGAAAATGAAGAAGCACGATATTCTAACAAAGGGTGAAGTGTGGCACCAACACAATTTCACATGTTAGGATGTGGAAGACACCAGTGACAACTTAATATAAAAATACACCTCTTGCTGTGGACACCCGCCTGGAGCACATTTGTACGTTCAGTCTTTAAGCTCCATCAGGGCTGTGCCCTGCTGTACAAGACAACCTGGGGGGGGGGGGTAGGGCCACCTGTATCCCACGGAACATCCAGCATCCCCATCCCTCACCTCTACACGACAGTAGTGCTCCCCAGACCTCATGACAACGTAGATACCGCCACAGCCTCCGTCCACTAAGACCCAGGCACCCAGCAGAGAGCAGGAGCTCCACTGAGGTGGAACAAGCCGGAGGACTGAGTGATGGAGGACTGAACGGAAGGAGCAAACTGAGCTTGGAAATGAGGAGCACACTCTCTGAGTGTCAGGAAAGGGCCCTCAGCTCAGGACTGTGGGAGGAGCCCAGGAAATGCTGAGTAAAAAGTGGCAAAGTACGGTGCCTTGGGTCAACGCTGCTGGAGGAGCCAGGGCCTCGCTGTACCCCACCACCCCATCTTGCCTCTCAGTCCGTGGGCTCTGCGCTCCTCCACCACACACGTCAACGCCCAGCTAACAAGTCAGTCCTGGGTGCGTTCTGGGCTCCCAGGTGGGGAAGGAGCATGCATGCCTACCTTCTGCGGTTTCTGCAGCACTGGAGGGCATATCTGGTTTTTCCCCTGACCTAGCTTCTTGCTCTCCAAGAGTCTAAGAAAGGAAGGAAAAAAAAATTACTGGAAATTTTTGAGGCTTCATACACGTAACAAGAGATGAAAATCACAGTCAAAGATCTCAGCGCTGGGACAGGCCAGAGGCACGGCCTGGGGCGGTGAGGACAGGTCGGGTGAGTCAGCTGTGGGGAGAACACGTCGGCAGCACCCGGGGATGACGTGAGGGGCGATGGGAGGAACCAGAGACATGGGCCAAACCCGCCCCTGCCGCTCGTCCTCGCTGCTCCCCCACGTCACCCCACCGGAAGGTTCTCAGGAACATGACACAAGACCCAGCAAGGAGACAGGACAGAAAATGCTGAAACCTGAAAGAAACACTGCCATGTTATGCACCGGCCCACCTGGACCAACCTCCATCCACACCCTAAGACACAGGGCTTGGGGGCCTGGAGATGGGGGCAGGATCCCCAAGGAGCGCAAGCCCCGGGCGACGGCTGGCCCACGCGGACGCCCGAGCGGATGCAGGCCGTCCCTGGCCGACACCGAGTGTGAGCCTTGGGCAGAAGCTGCCCTGAGCGCCCTCGGTTGTTTCTTTTCAAATGGATTCCCCACAGCCAGTGAAAACGTGAAGAGACAGAAATGTGCGTTGATGTGTCAAAAACTGCCCAAGATGGCATCAGTATATGTTCCACAGCAAACACACCAGCCAACTGGGGAGGGAAACCTACCAGCGACACAGACCCCTGGCTCCCCCGAGCCTGTGACTAAGCTCCGTGTACCAACTGCCTTGCTTGTGACTATTTCCAAACACCCTGAGGCCAGAGCAAAAAGGACATGAAAATATACATAACTGACCAAAACACAAAGAGGCAGGGAACAAGAAGTACCCAGGCACCTACCCGCCGTGGCTATTAGCTGCCCCCAGCCTGATTCCCAGGACACAGTGCTCTCTCTTTTGCGGCCGGCCATGGGATGATGGATGGACTAGAGCGGGGATATTGGGGAGATGCTAAGGAGATGGCAGCAGGAGCATGAGGGGCTGAACGAGGGCTGACCACGTAGGTTCAGGGCCAAAGACAGCCACTGGCCCCACGCACTTACCGGGGGTCAGTCTTAACCCTACGCCCTAGTCTTTCAATAAAGACAACTGCCAAACCTCTGCAAAAAGCACATCAGGCAACGCTGGTTCTAATTACAAAGCAAAACCTGAAATAAGGAAATAATTGTTTTGTAAATGGGCTGTAACAAAACTTAATTTTTATGCTGGTGAATAATTTTGGATGCAGCTTTAGAACACTTAAATTTCCTGGCTAACAAGTTCTAGCAGTAAATAATCAGCATTCCAACTCACAGAAAAAGCTTTGTTATGAGGAGAGAACTAAAACACGATGAAAAGAGATAGCTGGCATTTTGCCGACTGTTTAATTTCCTAGTAACTATCTTTACAGTTTGGATATTTAGCACCAACCTGTGGTTTTTAACATTTAGTATTTATTGCAAATGACCAGTCCACCGGTGTCAGCTGTAACACAGCTAGATATCATGAACTGGTCACAGCTCCGAGCAAGTCTGACTTCTGAATGGGATGCCCTGAACAGTTCTTGCACATGGTACAGCAAAACCAGGTTTCTGCAGTGGGCTTTCCTGTCATCGTTCTGGAAGGCTGCAGGTAACTGGGCAACGCCCAAACCCTGAGACTGAAGATGCATCCTGGCAAGACTGAGGGTGCACTGAGGCCCACTGAGAATACACGCCTCCCAGATCCCAGTCACTGTCTATAGCTACTATATAAAAACAGACTTTTTAGATATCTAAGATTTAATAAAGCACAAATGCTTTATTACTATATATACGTTCACATTTTTTACCCCAAGTTGTAAAGCTTTAGTTTGGACAACTATGTAACAATTACCACCTGCTTACATTTCCCTGGACTTGTGACCAACTGGCTATAAATGAGGTGTTCCTACAACTCCCTCCTTGGGTTCAAGTAATTTGCTAGAGCAGTTCACAGAACTCAGAGACATTTCACTTATCAGCTTACCGGTTTATTGTAAAAGAATATAACTCAGGAATAGCCAGGTGGAAAAAATGCCAGGAATCAGAGAGAGACCAAATATATTTCTTATTATAAGTCACGATATCACCATGTCCTAAGGAATCTCGGCCCTGTGCCCTTCCTGGTCTCCCTACTCACTATCCTGCCACACGGTTCAGGACTGGAAGGGGAAAAAAGGAGGGTCAACACCTGGGACACAAGGTCATCCCACTGCAAATGATTCATCAAGTGTTTTTCATAAAATGACAATCTCCCAAGAAACTGGAAAATAATCTTCACTCAGTCTTTGTAACTGTAAAACGTGCCGCCATAAATTATTAAAGCATCTAGATTTAATCTTCCCAAGTCTCTCCCAAGGTCATTAGTAATACTTACCTCAAAAGTGTTATGAGAAATCATGAATCCAACTTAAGACGTTGGAGGTTTTCATAATGAAACAAACGTCCAACTTTTGCTGTATGTAGAGCACGCTCTACCCTTTGCAGAAGCTTTGTCACCAGGCACCCTGCTGCGGTCTGAGGGTCCCCTCCAAGGACACACAAGGTTGCTGAGCTCTGCCCCTCTAAAGCTGCAGGTGGCGGAGCTCACCCTGAGCAATGCTGTGTGGCCAGGCCAAGCCTCTGCCGGGCTGGAATATCCACCGCTGGGCTTCTGGGTGAGAAGCCATGGGGATGGCTGAGGGTTTCTGTATATTTAAAGGACAAGTACCCTGAAGCAAAATGAGGAAATACTGTATGCTAGAAAATTATACACTGACTTCCCAAAACCCAACAAAGGGAGGTGGTTCATACTCTGAAGAGCATGTTCCATTTTAATTGTTTAATAAAAATCTATATAGAGTAAGCAATCATCTCCGATAAATAATGTTTATGGCTAAACCTTTAGTTCAGTTACACAAAGCAAACATTTCACAAAAGTCAAACTGATAAATAACAATGATCAGTTTTTTAAACAGACTGTTTACTTTGTAAAACCTATGCAGCCATGAAACTGGTGCTTATTCGTGAACATGCTTGAGAAAGGGAGTGGGGGCGTCACCCAATCTGGTGAGTGGACGCATTATACCCCTGAGCACTGTCCACGAGGCTGACTGAAGCCCTTTTACTAGAAATAACGTTCTGCTTTACTAATAATTAAAATACGTGAATATTCTTTAGTCTTCGATTCTACAAAAAGATAAAAATAATGAAGATGAACCGTTTTAAACCCTGAGGTGGGGTGTGCTATGCTAGCACTCAATGCTGATGTCTGGGTGACCAGTCCCCATCCAAGAAGAATCTTCACTCAGAAACAAATGCTTGGCTATATCTTAAGAAATCCCAGAAGAAGATATCATTCATTTTAAAATAAAATAACCCTAAAGGCAACTGCTTTAGATAAGAATTACAATGCAGTCAATAAATTAATAGGAAATCCAATACTGGAGTATTAAAATCCAACGCCAGTGATGCTGGCTTATGGAAAATACAGGAAACAATGTTACAGAAATTACTGTTTTCTACCACCAAAATATTACAAAATCACCTTCATTCTACTGGTGCCATTCTACCAGTTTCCAATCCATGTCCCCCAAGGTCCCATCACAGAAAAAGAAAGTACTACCCCAAAAGTACTGTTCCCAAAATCCTGAATCTGCTGTCTGCACTCTTAAGGAGCATGAGTTATTGTCCCTTATACAACAGTAAAGGGGCACAAACCTTGATGAGAAAGGCTCTATCCCAAAAGTACTTCCTGAAGAGGTTAATATCTGCCTCCAGCAAATGCTCGGCTGTGTGGTTGAGCGTCAGGGTCAGTGTTTCTGATGAGTGAATGTACCGCAGGGAGGCGTCTTCGCTGAGCTGCACCCGGGAGAAGCCTGGGGACCGCCTGCCCTGGAAGCTGAAACATCACAAATCAAAACCGCCGATCTCAGTACCCTTTACTGCCCCTGATATTACAAGCCCAACTGGCCGAACGATCCACAAAAGACACTACTGACAATAGGTACAGAAGATCTTGTGAACAGATCCTAATAACGCCATCTTTCTTTTCCCACCTTGAGAAGATGTCAGTTGAAAAGCCATTCACATACATTACATGCTTTAAAGGTTTATATAATCAATGCAACAGTACTGACTTTAAAATACAGTACTTTACCTCGATATTTCATTCTCCTTTTAATCTGAGAAGACACCTCTTGCCTTAACAGCACCACATGCAGGAGGATAAATCAGCTGGCAGCCAACAGTTGATTAGGTGATTACAGTGGAAAACAGATATGATCTCCAGGGAGCGTGGAGAGGCTTGGACGTTACAAACAAGTGAGACAGTCATAACACACTGGCCCACTGCTGTAAATCATCTTCTCATGCCCATTAAAACGTGCATAAATTTGGTCGTGTGATATTCCTGAATCCACTCATAAACAAAGAAACAATATTCCCAAACTAAATCCTTGAATATCAACTTATTTTCCGCTTTGCTGTGGCTAAGAACAGCTGCACATTTATTAGCTCTATGGAGGCTTCATGGTTAGCAGCATAATATTCCAGGTGGCTTATAGGTCATGCAATAGCAACAGAAGAGGGGCCTCAGGAGGGAGTGCTAGTGCTCCTAGAAAGCAGCCCACCTCGCTTGCTGTCACAGCCCCACGGATGCTCCCAGGTCCCTCATGTCACAGAACTCATTCTCTGCCCCTTTCCTCTTCTTCCATCACCCCATTTTGTTAATGAGCATTTGCTTTACAAAAATACAGTATACTGCCAACCAAATGAATATTATCTCCACCACGTGGAGCGACCAAAAGAGATTCACTGAGAGCACCTATACTCTAAGATTTGCAGCATCTCCCCAAGCTCTTCACATAATTACTGGCAGGGACTCTGGAATCTTCTAGAAGACAACTCCCCATGCCAACAACAAGCCAGTGAAGTAACTGGACTCAGCCTGAGCAAGAAGATTCTTACTATTAATTTGGAAAATGGAAGCTCCATCATAGAATCAGAATTTAGCTTACAGTCTACTTCTAATCTCATCCATGAATGCATTTATTAGGTGTGTAGACTTTTAAAACTCACATCATCCTCTGGTGTGGACATAACAGAATGATACAAAGCTACCAAAGGCGAAGAAGCGAGGCTCCAGGTCCTCGATGTCACCCTGAACTATCCACAATGACTAAGTCAAGGAGGTCCTGCCTTGCCCTTCTCCACTAAAGAAACCGGGGTCACATTAGAGCAAGGACAAGGGCAATCCCACTGGGGTGGGCTCTTCCCTTAGTTGGTGGTCATCTGACCAAGTGGGGACAAAAACAATCAGAAAGCTGCGACTTCTACTCCAACATCAGTTTATGTACCATATAACCATAAGTTAGAGTGAGAAAAACCAGTCCATTAAGGCACACCTGTAATATCACAGATGATATTTAATATTTGGGTAGTACTGTGTAATTTTCACTGTGGTTTCCCTTTTTTTTTTTTAACCACATGTTAAGTCAAGGAAATCACTATATAGGGTTCCTCCATTCATAAGTAAGTATAATGACCAGTTTGAACCAGTCCAAGTAACAAACATTAAAAGTGTTGGTATCATCACCAACACAGAGAACTTTATAACTGACAAATTATTTCATTTACATTATTTCTAGATCCTAAAAACCAGCCCACTGGCTGCACAATATCTTAAGGCCTGTCTGTTACTCTGGTTCAACAAAAACATATTCTTTTTGATGAATGTGTGCAGTGCATAAAAGAAACAGTTTCAGTCCTCAAATGATTTAGGATGAAGACATATATGAAATAAATGATAACTATATATAAAGTTATAAATTATGATTTATATTGTAAATTAATAATTTTAATCACAATTAATGTTATAAATTAATCATAATTGTAAAAAAGACCACACATAGAAGGCCTCACTAAAGAGGTGATATTTAAGCTAAAACCTGAAAGAGAAGCAGGGGTTAGGCTAGTGTTTCTCAGCTTTTCTTCTTATTATAACACCCCCCCATGCAACCTTTTAAGACATGGTTCCCTACTCCCTCTCCCCCGTGAATGTTATACCAAATATATCTGTGTATCTGTTTGTGTATGATACGCATATCTGTACTTCATACCTGGGAACTAGTGGTAAAATATAAACCAATGTCAGCTTGTGGTTTGCTTATTTTAATTTTTCCATAATGCTTGGAAGGCTTTAAAGAAACAGACTGAGAGAGAATCTGTCAAGTAGCCAAACTCACTTTGTGATGTCTTCAACCAGCTGGGAGTGTCCGCCATGTAAAGCTAAATCTAATGGCGTGGCACCCTCCTCGTTGGGTAGAGCCAAGGCCTGGACGCCACCCGGGAGACACAGGAGGAACTGGGAGAGCTTGGCAAGGCCCCATCTCACAGCCAGGTGCAGAACAGACTCCCTGTGTAGAGAAACTGAAAAGAAAAACATAGGGTATTAGTTCCTCTGTTTGAAAGGGCTGCCATACATATATTGTATCAAAGACACTGTCTGAGTAAGAACAGTAATTGTAAGAACGTAGGAGCTGGAAGGAACCATCAAAAGCATCTAGTGCAGACACCTCGTCTTACAGATGCGGAGAGGTCAAGTGGCTTGTGCAAGGTCAGGGAGCCAGCAGGTGCTGGGGCCAGCTCCGCGATGCTGCTCTACCCACTGTGGTACACGCCCCCCTCACCTTCCACTCCAGTTCAGAGGGCTCATCCAGGGAAAACAAGAGATAGGAGCACACCATCCTCTGGACACAGACATCGCCAGCCTCCAAGGTGTCCTGTAAGGAAATGCTGCTACCCCCACAGCGCAGGCTCTCAGAGGCCAAAAGTGTCAAGGAGCCTCCATTTCCACCCTTCGTCTGCAGGCATGCTCCTCCCCAGACCAGCAGCAAGGACAGAAATGGGCTGCACGTGTCCAGAAAATGTGAGTCCGTGGTCTCCCTCAAACACCACAGAGGTGCTTTCACTCACCTAGTAGATCTTGGGATTACTCTAGTGTTGCCAAAGCCACCCCAGTGCTTTGCTTAAAAAGCACGGTTTGTGCCTTTTCATGTGCCCAATGACAGACGGCTCTTGGTTGGTCTGGGTTTGCACTGTTGATGCTCACGTCTGTGCCTCATGGCTGTTTCCTGACCATGTCATCTTACAGGCTGAGGGGACCCAGGAAGCTGTTCACTCCTGACACCTAGTATAATACCTAGCAAACTGAAGTCACTCAGTACTTACTGAGTTGAATGGCAACTGACTGTTAAAAATACCAATTATTTGTGTATGTTTAAATTGCCTAATTTATATAGAGTTTGTACACCTGCATTTCTACTGCAGTGACTCAGAGTCTGGAATGCAGTTGGCCCACGATAAACATTACATTGGGAACATGTAAAAGAATACCTTTGCTAACATTAAAAAAAAAAAAAAAACTGAGGCCCGAGAACCCCATAGACACCAAGACACACCTTAACAACTGAACACGAAAATCCTAACACTCTATAGATCTGTCAGAATAAGGACACAGTTACACTCTGAGTCATACACAGCCTCCAGTTAAGTAACATCACTGACCGTGTGCGAGGTGAAGGAGATGCAGAGAACACTGCACCACATGGGGCGAAATGCCCAAGAGGGTAGGACCTCACCTGACTTTTATCTTAGCACAGTGTCTGGCACCTGTAGGTACTCTATAAATATTGCTCATTGAATGAATAAGTGATCAGTGGCTCTTCCCTGATGAGTAGTACCCAGGAAAGTCAGCTTTTAATACATGGCTACAGCTGCTATGTGGCATCTTGAGTTCTTCCACTGATACCTCTTGACTAGAATCTGTGAACACAAACTATGTACTCCCACATAGCTTGGCCGCTGAAGACTGAAACTACCTACTTCTCCACACAGCTTACTGCCCACACTAACATGATTTTGCTATTTCATCGTCTTCGTTAGCACAACTTCACTAGTCTAGGAGACTCTTGCCAAGGCAAATGACTGATGATTCATTATAGGAATTTCCTCCAAGGCCCATCAACTCTAGTAGGAAGGACTGATAGTTTAAGCCCTAAAACTCCAATCCTTAACTACTATATCATGATCCTTATCCAGTCCTAATCCAACTGTCTTCCCTGCCACCCTGGCATCATTCCCCCCCCTGCATTCAAAGACCCTCATTAAACCAAACTTCAAGTTCTCCATCAATTCAAATCTTGTCTCCCCAATTCAAGACGCTGCTAAGGCTCAGTGGAGGTGGAGTTCCCTCTTGCCGGGGTAGGCAACACACCCAGCTTTGTCTTACCAGCAGGCTGTGCTGATGAGATATGGGGAGCCAGCTTCCAACACAACTCTTAATTTGAAACCATCAGAAGGAAATACTGCAGTGCATGTGGATGTAAAAGAAAACTGCTCAGCTTACATTTTTTATTGATTTATATTATTTCTGTATCTAGATCAATGAACCTAAGGCCTCTTATTTCAAATATGTGAATGAACCCTCATAGTGAAATGTCACAGACTTCACTGTGCACTTGCTCCATCATCCGTGTGACACAGCACAGATCCGCCTCCATGGAGGAAAATGACATCTGAAATGCCAAAACATCTGACAACAGACAAAGCAGTGCTCCTCTGCCAGACATCTGTTCTATATACTTGATATCTTCCAAATGCTATTTTTTAAATTGAAGTATAGTTGATTTACAATGTGTTGATTTCCAGTGTACAGCACAGTGATTCAGTTACACATATATATATATTCTTTTTCATATTTTTTCATTATAGGTTATTATAAGATATTGAACATAGTTCCCTATGCTCTACATTAGGATCTTGTTGTTTATCTATTTTACATATAGTAGTTTGCATCTGCTAATCCCAAACTCCCAATTTATCCTTCCCCACCTCTTTCCCCCACCCCTGGTAACAGTAAGTTTGTTTTCTATGTCTGTGAGTCTCTTTCTGATTTGTAAGTAAGTTCATTTGTGTCATTTTTTCTAGATTCCATATATAAGAGATATATAGTATTTGTCTTTCTCTGTCTGAATTCCTTCACTTAGTATGATAATCTCTAGGTCCATCCATGTAGCTGCCAATGGCATTATTTCATAATTTTTTATGGCTGACTAGTATTCCATTGTATGTATATATCACATCTTATTTATCCAGTTATCTGTCAATGGACATTTAAGTTGCTTCCATGTGTTGGCTATTGTAAATAATGCTGCTATGGACATTGGGGTGCATGCATCTTTTCAAACTGGAGTTTCCTCTGGATATATGTCCAGGAGTGAGATTGCTGGATTAAATGGTAAGTCTATTTTTAGTTTTCTACAACAGCTATTAAAGAACTTTAATTATTTTGTCCTTTAAGTTTTTGACTTTCAAACTCATTTTATTAGAAAGTAGGGTTTCTATTCTTAATAGATTCCCTACAAGACATATTTGATAACAGTTACATTTTTCCTTCTTAAATAATAATCAGGAAGAGACTTGTTAGGATCACATTCGCG